TAAGAGGCTAGGGAAAGGCTAATCAGAGATTTCCAAGATGAGAAGCCAGAGCCCAGTGAATGCCCTGGTCATTTTGGTCAAATCACTGTCACCAGGATCTAAGAAAGATGGGCTACCATTGCAAGGTGAGCTTTTGTTCATTAGAGATAGTCGCAACTACTGGGAGTTGTGACTGAGGAACTGAGAGGGCAGTGGAGGCAGCTGACAGAAAGCAAGCATTTAGGTGAGACTTAGGCATAGAAGTGGAGGACAGAAACATCAAAAGCAGCAAGAGCACATAGATGCAAAGGTTGGGCTCTAGAGTAGAAGCTAGAGAAAGGCGGAACAAGGGACTGTGTGATCACCTGAACCAGTACTGAGCTATGTGTGTATTACAAAATGGAGTGCAACTTACCTTAACAGCCTCCATTTAAATTGTAAATTGTATCAGAGTAGGACTGATCATGTTTGTTTACTGCTATATCCCCCATACCAAGAGCTATGCTTGGCTCACAGTAGGTCCTCACTAAATATTTGTTGAATAAATGATCTGTATAGAAATTTAAGCTTTCCTGCTACCAGAGTAAAGATCATTATATATGTGAACTGCCTGATTGTGCTGCATGGGAGTAATGGGGAGAAAAAGGTGAAGAAGGCCCTTATTAAACCCAAGATGCAAAGCAAATGGCGGTGGAGACCCAGGCTCAGGGCAGGGACGGTTTGGAGGGCCTGCCTTTAGAAAGTGTTCCATTTGCCTTAGTTACTCAGAATAAAATTGCCTACATTTTTCAGAACTCCTTTCCCTGGGTCCTGAGCTGTGCTATGCTGGGAGTAGAAAGGAGGGAAGCCAAAGTCAGGTTGTCCTAAAGAAGAGGCTCCCCATTTGACATCTTACCTGTAATGGATAGCCTATGGTTGCTGTTCCATTGCCTGATTAAAAACAAAAAAGGAACAGCCTTAGAAATCAGAAGGCCTTCTATCCTGTTATTCTTTTAAACTCGTTTGAACCAGTGCATCTCCTCTGTGGGCTTGTTATGCCAGCTTCTGGAACAGTGCCTAGTACCTAGCAGGTACTCAGCAAATATTTGTTGAATGAATGACTCTGCCTGGTTATGCAGTTTTGAAAGACTACCCACGATGCTGGGGCCTTTTCCATAGTCCCTTAAAGAACACAGGGCTGTATCAGGATAAACAATTATGAAGAAATCAGAGAAAAGGAATGGAAAGTAATAATAATTTCATATATGCCTGAATTCTGGTGCATTTTGGGGAATCCCTAAGTGTCTCAGATGAGTTACAACTCCAAATCAATGTATAAAGCAGTTATTTTCAATGTGCAGTGCTAAGACTCAAGAAAGTTTAATACCTCCTTTCCTTCTAGGATGAAAAGGAAATTTTGTGTTCTCTATATGTGTCATTATACCTGAATACTTACACTTGGGGTGAAACTGTTAAAATATTTGTGTCTTTCTTGTGTTTCTCTGGCCCATCAGTTAATAGATTATACTTAGATACGTAATTCAAGACTTCCTCACTCCTAATCCCATAGCATCTGAGCATAACCAACGTTTTGCTAGAAGGGGGTGGTGTGTGTAGGCAGATATGCTTTCTACAGGATGAAAGTTGGAATTTGAATCCCAAAAGGTTTATAGGCAGGTTTTGGAGGCTCCCACTCTAGAAGCCAGGAAGCAAAATATCATGGACAATATTTTTAATACTAGGCTAGGATATGAAATTAGTACAGGAAGTGTAGAACAAGAACATTTGGCAACCTTGTGCTTCCTGTCTAAAATAACTATTATAGAACATTTGTAGGAGGTAGTATGCTATAGTGAATTCTATCATTTTCCTTATTAGACTCCTTATACTACTGAATTTTCTGTATATTATAGATTTTTTTCTCTTATTTTTTGCTTAGAAAAGTCATATCCCAACTGTGTATGTATAAGAGGATATCTATATTTAGTTTCTACCTTTAGGTGCATTTGTTTTCTTGAGTTACAGCTTCAACAGCTGACATGGTATTGTTTGGGTAAGACATCCTTAGAATAAACCACTGTTTATTTTGAGCACTATAAGGTTTCTGATGGGAATACTGTAAACTCCAGCTCTAAATTGATGTTGAAGAATCAATAAACTACTTAGCAGAGGAATAAATGACTCAAGGTAAAAATAACCAAGTAAAATCTAACTCCGACTTTCTGTTCAAACATGTATAGTGAGAAGGAACATATTTGACAAAGAGAGCCTTAAATGGTTATCATCTTCAAGGTCCTGCCCCTCATCTGGGTTAACTTTGCAGATTATTTTTTTCTTTCATTCAGAAAGAGATCTTCAAGAAGGAAATCAAAATCTTCTGGTTACAATTTGGCAAAATGTTTGGGATCATGAAACCAGCCAGATTCTTTTCCTAGAGAAGTCAGAATTATTTCCCCCATTGAGGCTATCTTTATTTGCTAGCAATATGTCAGTCATTGTAGAGGACCTAAAGAACTCTTGACCTCTTGGCTTCTTCCTTTTTTTTTGTTTATTCTAAGGACTCTGTCTCTCCTCATTTGATCATTATTTCGTGTATTTTTCAATGGGATCCAGAGATTCATTAATTCATTTCATAATTCAACAAAAATGTATTGAGTAACTGCTTGGTGCCAGATACTCTGTTAAATATTGTAAATACCACAGTAATAACAGAAATAAATGAGTACATATATAAAATTCTTTCTAATGGTGGTACGTGCAAGGACAGACAGCTACGGAAGGGAAAAAATGGCAGGACCCACTTAGATATTTTTTTAAGATTTTATTTATTTATTCATGAAAGACAGAGAGAGAGAGAGAGAGAGACAGAGACAGAGACACAGACAGAGAAGCAGACTCCATGCAGGAAGCCCGATGTAGGACTCAATCCTGGAACTCCAGGATCATGCCCTGAGCCAAAGGCAGGTGCTAAAACACTGAGCCACCCAGGTATCCCAAGAACTACTTAGATATTATGGAAGGAAGGTTTCTATGAAAAGATGTATTTCACTGCTGGGGATTTACCCCAAAGATACAGATGCAATGAAACACCAGGACACCTGCACCCCAATGTTTCTAGCAGCAATGTCCACAATAGCCAAACTGTGGAAGGAGCCTCGGTGTCCATCGAAAGATGAATGGATAAAGAAGATGTGGTTTATGTATACAATGGAATATTACTCAGCCTTAGAAATGACAAATACCCACCATTTGCTTCAACGTGGATGGAACTGGAGGGTATTATGCTGAGTGAAGTAAGTCAATCGGAGAAGGACAAACATTATATGTTCTCATTCATTTGGGAAATATAAATAATAGTGAAAGGGAATAGAAGGGAAGGGAGAAGAAATGGGTAGGAAATATCAGAAAGGGAGACAGAACATAAAGACTCCTAACTCTGGGAAACGAACTAGGGGTGGTGGAAGGGGAGGAGGGCAGGGGTGGGGGTGAATGGGTGACGGGCACTGAGGGGGGCACTTGACGGGATGAGCACTGGGTGTTATTCTGTATGTTGGCAAATTGAACACCAATAAAAAATAAATTTATTATTAAAAAAAAAGGATGTAGGTCAGTGTGTGTGTAGATTTGGTGGTGGGAAGATGAGAGAGCTCTTTCTGATGGCTTTTGTTTTCTCCACAAAATATAAGGCAAGATCATCAGCAAAAAGCAGGAAGCAAGAGAAGAGTGGGAAAGATGTGGAAGGATTGAGGAGAGAGGTGAAGATATATCATAGTCACTTTGAAGAGTAGGAAAGCAAGTTTAATGCAGAAGTAGCATTGCGGGGCAGAGATGAGTGCTCAGTTGAGGTTTGTGATCATGAATACTTTAAATGAAAATAAAGCCCATCCACTCAGCTACGTGAATTTTCTGCAGTCATGTTCAGTAGCTCAGGTGCAGGTTCACAAACGGCAGTTTAATTCTACTATATTACCATATGAGTGTATTTGGAAGAGCATAATGTGGTAGAATGGAACAAACGCGTGACTAGGGTTGAGAGGACATGGGCTGTAATGCAGTCTCACACTACCTGTAAACTTGCTCTGCCTCTGTTTTCTCGTTGATAAGATAAGAAGTTTGGACCAAATAATCTTTAAGGTTCTTTCTGGCTCTAAAACAGTGTGATTATTTTTTTTCCTTGGGACAATTCCTAATCTCAACCAATTTCTCATTAATATAGTGTTGTGATTAAGTGTGTATACTCTGGAGCCAGACTGCTTGGATTTGGATTCTAGCTCCACCACTTTCCACCTTTGTGACCTTGAGTAAGTCATTTCGCCTTTCAGTGCCAGTTTTTTCATCTTTGCAATGGGTATTAAAATACCGCATATTTTACTTAGTAGGATTACTGTAAGGATTAAACGGATCAATGCATGTGACACTCTTAGAACAGTGCCTGCACTGTGCCCTCAACAAGTGTTAGCTGTTACTCCCAACAAGTTCTGGTTCTCCAACATCTCTTCAGCCATAAAATATCTGAAAACTTGGAATTTCTTCTGCTTGCAGGCATGCATACCACCTGACACCATATTTAGACTTAATTTTGTTTCAGTTTGGCAGTGTGGCATAGAAAAATGATTCTGGGACCAGATGAGCCTTGGTTTAAATCCTGAGCCTGCCATTTACTTAGCTTGAGATCTTGGGTAAATAAATTAATGAGCTGATATTCAAATTCCTCTCCTACAAAATGAGGACAATAGTAATATTTTCTGATAGTTTGTGGGAGAAAATGAAGTGAGATAGTGCATGTGACGTATGTGATAATACAGGGTTTGGCATATGCTAGGCATTTAATTAAAGCAATTATTATGATTCTGGTACCTTGCCCTAATATTTATCCTGTTATGTCAGTTCTTGAGGTATAGGCAACTTTGGTTTGTGTTACTGACGTGTTTCTGAAGCACAGAGGAGCAACAAGTAGCCCATCAGAGAGAGAGAGAGACCTGAAAAAAAAAAACAGTATCAGCAAGTACCTTAGAGACAGGGTAAAGCTAGAAGGGCTAGAATAAAGGGGTGCACATTGTTATTTGTTACAATAAATACTGTAAACACGTAGATTTATTTTTAACATTGAAATCTTCCTTTAGAGTTTGAACGTTGTCTGCCAGTGAGAGCAAGTTAATAAAGCCAAGGAAAATGGGATGCATGATCTCCTCCAGTATGTCTGAGAAGGTTTCCATTGCCTTCCATGTCTGGACAAAGGCACCTCCCACGGATCCCTGCTGATCAAGCTCCAGGGAAGTGGTTGTTCCTGTGAGGTCCTTGAGCTCTTTGGTGGAAGGGTGTCATGTGAGGCTACAAATGTAAATAAAATCTTATTCATATCTGATCCTCAGAAAACTGCTTTGGAAGCAGCACCTACTTTGCTTCCTATGTTTGAAAACACCCTACTGAGTTGTATTGATTTCTTTAAGGAAAAGAAATATGGAGGGGAACAGCTCATTCCTATGCTTTCGTGTACCAGTAATCAAACCAAATCATTTATAAGGCTCAACAAGAAGCTCACATAATATCAATGTTTTAATCTCAATGTTATTTTCCACATGGTCTTAATTACAAAGATGAATCAGACCCAACTTTTTTTCTTATTATAGATCGGAAAAATATCATACTTAATTCTTCTAGCTGAAATCTCAGTCATTCTTGTTAAATGCATTTCATCTTATCAGCCTGCTGATTTCTTCTGCTGAACTAAATGACCAATGTTAATGCAAGACTTTATCAACTTAAATAAAAAGTAAACTTCCATCCCAGTCCTAATATCCCCCCTTGTATGTGCTAGTTCAATAAGTAACTTTAACTCAGAAACTAGATTTCCTTTTTGAGAGCCTGCAAAGCGGATTAGTCCCTATGAATTAAGGACTTCCTTTCTGTCTGATATTTGCTTATATTTCTTGCTACAGCTCTAAAAAGATTGTGATAGTACTTGTAATCTTACTAGGATACACTATTCTAGTAGCTGGAGCATCAGCTTGGATATTGTGGTACCATTTGCAGTTGGGCAAGTTCACTTCATTTTTCAGTCCATTTCCCCTCCAGAAAAATGACAGTGATAATATTTGTCCTTATCTACTTTGCTTAGAGGTTGTAAGACTAAATGAAACATGGATGGAAGCAGTTTGATCAAAAAGACAAAAATCTGAAAAATTATGACTCCTCAGGAATTATTTAGGCATACTCGTATTTGTGTTCTTAGAAAGTCCCTCCCTCTCCATAAGCACATGAGTAGTATACTCCATCACCATCAAATTTAAAGAAACACACAGACACAGACCTTCATGTTATCTAATATACTTTTAAAAAATGATTACCTTGCACTGTGTAGAATTTGATCAACACATTAATATACTTATATCTGGCTATCTATCTATGTATCCATCACTGATATATTCAGGAAATATTTGTCAAATTCCTGCTATGTGCCAGGTACTGTGCTTTGCTGGATGAAAATTTTAAGAATCAAGACAGGACTGATTCAGGGCTCATGAGTTATGGTCTAGTAAGTGAGACAACAGACAGTTAAAATAAAGTTTAAGTATTGTCATGGGTGATTATCAGAGTGTAATAGAATACCAAGCAGGAGTACAGAACCTGAGATGTGGAGGGTAGAGAAGGTGGAAAGAAAGACTTCCCATGGAAGTGATAGCTAAGGCCCCAAGATAATGAGTCATTGTAGCCTCACAAAGATGAGGAGGGAAGAGTATTTCAGAGGGGACAGTATCACTGCACAGCTTTTGAGCATTCTGGAGTGTGTATCCACATTGAGAAATCAGCCCATTTATAGGTACCTCCACTTACATTTGAAGGAACTTCATGGCTTTTCAAACCTTGTGTATTATTGGCTCTGTTACTGGATACACTGTAAAAATGAAACCCAGCCTTAGCATGAACTGATTTTACTCTTTGATTACTTTTCTAACTCCTAAAAGTCAAGTTCTCAATTTCAAATGTTTTACTAGGGCTTTCTTGTGGTTCTGAGTGTTGTTTATTTTGGTTATCACAGTTGCAGATAATTGCACATTTGCATTTAACATGAATTTAAATGCTTTTAATGAGTTTCTGCATTTTTGCTGGGTTAATTAGTTGAGTAGTAGGGAATTGTGTCCACCAACACAAGTCTGTTTTATCTATAGAAGCCCCAGCAAGCGTGTATAATTTTCTGATATTAGCATAGGTTCAGAAATCACTCATCTATGTGATTTAGTGACCATTTATTTATAAGCCATTTCTTAGACCATGTAAATCACTTTCTTTTTTTTTTTTGTAAATCACTTTCTAAAATTAGTTGAAGTCATTTCCTTCCCAAACTTCCTAGGATTTTCTTCCTCACTGAGCTCTGGCTTTTAAAGAGTTTTCAACTGTGTATGTTTCCACTATTTCTTGTTGACTTTTAAGAATTTTTCTGTCCTATTTGCAAAGAATCGGGCTGCTGCCTTGCATTTTCCTCAAACTAAAAACAGTTTACCCTCCCAATTAATGTCTGGACCTAATCCAAGCACATCAAAGTTTGCCTGGAAGTAAAGAACATAGTATGTAAATAACAGTAGGGCATAGTGAGTCATCTCACCGGTTTGAATATGGAGCTAATTCTGCAGATGCTATCACTTTTTGAAGAACAAACAAATGACTGAAAATGTGATCCTGGTATGCACTTGACAATATACATAGTGAAAGTTTATGGTATGTAATTATATATGCTTATCTCTTTATGGGACTTCATTTAAAATGAAAAGGGCACTTAAGCCCAACTCTCATTTTGGAATGCAAAAACTGATAGGTGACAAAATAGGGCTCAGAATTGACATTTCTACCATATAGCTAGCTTTAGTTTTTGATCAAAGTGAACGTCAATAGTTGTAAAGGAAATGTACTTTTCTTTATACATTATAAAAGTATTATATTGTGAAAGACTTCATATACAGAGAAGAACATGGTATCTACAGTTATACCTACCATGCAGGTTTATAAAACGTTAATATTTTCCATATTTGTTTCCAGTCCTTTAAGGATACAAATATGGTTGAGCAGTTGATGTTTATTTTGTGCCCCTCCCTGATCACGTTGTCCTCCCTTCTTCCCTGGTAGAACTACCAGCCTAAAGTTGGTGTGAGCCTTTCCCATCCATGTATTTGTACAAATGTAGGTACCTAGAAACAGTATTTGGCAGAGTTGTAATATTTACCAAGTTTATATCGTTAAGCAACTTGCATTTCGCTCAGTATTTCTGATATTTATCTATATTGAGGTACATACATACCTATTTATTTTAACAGCTATAGAGTATTTCACTTTATGAATGACTGCTTCTCAATGTATTTACCCATGTCCTTGTTGAGAAATTTTGTAGGTGTTTTTTCTCATTTTTCACTATTACAAAAAGTACTCCAGTATACATCATTTTACATGTCTCCTGTGTATGTGTGAGATTTTCAACCTCAAAATGATGTTACTGGGTTGCAGAGCATATGCATCTTTCAACTTTATAAGACACACCCAAGTTATTCGTTCTTCAAAGTTGTCATACCACCATCTTATAGTTTGAGCTGCTATAACAAGTACCATAGACTCGGGAGCTTATAAACAACAGAAATTTTTTTCTTACAGTTCTGGAAATTGGAACTCTGAAATCAGGGTGCCAGCATGGTTAGGTTCTGATAATGACTGTCTTCCAAGTTTCAGACTCCCGAATTATGTATCCACATATGGTACAAAAGAGAGAGGGGGGGACTAGAGAGCTCAGATGGGCTTCTTTCATAATGACACTAATCCTGTTCATGAAAAAAAAATGAAAAAAATCCCGTTCATGAGGGCCTTACCCTCATGGCCTAATCACCTCCCAGAGGTTATCACCTCCTAATGCTAATACACTGGAGCATAGGGATTTCAGCATATAAAATTTGTAGGGACACAAAACATTCAGTCCATAACACCTACTTTATACTTTCTACAAATGGTAGATGAAGGTTCCTGTTTTTACACATCCTCCAGCACTCAGTATTGTCACTTAAAACATTTTTCCAATTTTGGGGGTATGAAATGATGTCTTACTGTGTTTTAATATGTATTTTCTTGTTTACTAGTGAGGTTTAATATCTTTCCATGTGTTTATTGGCCATATAGTTTTCTTCTATGAATTGCCTATTCATATCATCTGTCCATTATTCTATTTGGTTGTTAGTCTTTTTATTATTGATTTGAAGGAGATTATCTATTCTGCATACTAATCCCTTATGCTTTATAAATATCATCTCACAGCCTGTGACTTGTCTTTTAACTTTTCTTATGCTGCCTCTGTTGAATAGATGTTTATTATTTTAATTGAATACAATTTATCAAGGTCCCTATTCTTTAAATATAAAACTGTGTGGAAGAAAGTAATCATTCCCATACAATCTGAAGCCCTCATTAAATTAAAATGAAGCATTAAAATGTCTTGACACCAGATTGTATTACTATGACTACATAGAACATAAACTTGGGAGGTTATCTAGAAATGCACAGAAGTTGCAGTCACTAAAAGTGTAACTTCAACAAACCATTAAAGAAAGTACATAAAGTAATACAAGATGAGGGATACCTGGGTTGAACTTCTAACTTCTGGTTTTGGCTCAGGTCATGATCTGAGGGTCATGAGATCAAGCCCACATAGGGCTCCATGCTCAGCAGAGAGTCCACTTGAGATTCTCTCTGTCCCTCCCCCCACTCTCAATCTCTCAATCTCTCTCTCTCTCTCTCCCCCTCCCTCCCTCCCTCCCCCCTCCCTCCAATAAATCTTTAAAAAAGTTATACAAGATGAAAAAGCTCTAGATATTTGCTCTACAAGAATGTGCATATTGTACAGTAAGCAACAATACTGTATTGAAATTTTGTTGAGAGGGTGGATCTTATGTTACATGTTTTCTTGCCATAAAAAAGAAACTAAATCATTCAGTGCATGTCCTTTCAGCCTTAAAAAAAGAATAATTTTTTAAAGATTTTATTTATTTATTCATGAGAGACACAGAGAGAGGCAGAGACACAGGCAGAGGGAGAAACAGGCTCCATGCAGGGAGCCCAATATGGGACTCTATCCCGGGTCTCCAGGATCACACCCTGGGCTGAAGGTGGCGCTAAACGGCTGAGCCACCAGGGCTGCTCAAAACCAATAATTTTGTAGGAAATCTAAGTGTTAGCTCCTTTATCAATAAATATTCTTTGGACAAGTCATTTCATCTCTCTTCTAATTTTTTTCACATGTAAAGTGAGGAATTATGTGGCCTCTAAGTTCTATTCTGGCTCTAAAAGTTCTGTGGTATATGGAAATAAAGAATGGTTTGAATGTATTCTAATGATTTCAAACATTCATTAAGAATTTTCCGAATTTCAGGGGTACCTGGGTGGCTCAGTCAGTTGAGCATCTGCCTTTGGCTTAGGTCATGATCCTGGATCAGCCCGAATGGGGCTCCCCACTCAGTGAGAATTCTGCTTGCCCAGCTCCCTGTGCTCCTTCCCCTACGCATGCTCACGCTCTCTTTTTCTCTTTCTCTCTCTCAAATAAATGAAAAATCTTTTTTTTAAAAAAGAATTTTCCCAATTTCAGACTAAGCAGATTTTCAAGAATTCCACTAGTATTTATTGGAGGCCTCCTAGTACACACCTGTACTCCCTTTTGAACCTTGAGGCCATTGATAGTGCTAAGACAATTCCCATGAATGCTCTTACAAGACATAAGCTAAGAGAGACAAGAAGAATGAAGAAAAACAAGTTGTAGAAGATCAGAAAGGGAAGAGAGAGTGGAGATAGTAAGCTGTCTGGAGGGGATGCCTCAGTACTATTCTATAACACGAAAGGCATGGGTATGTGTCCTGTGTTCCAAAAGGCAGAAAGACACCTTTACTTTGATTTAAAAAACAACAAACAGAAGGTCTATTATATGGAGGTAAACTGATCAAATATGTGGCTCTTGGTCAAATGTATCCATCAGTAAATCTGCCTTAGAAAGCACTTCTCTTGCCAATTAAAGATGACCCTTACCATGGCTACTGATCTCTGTTGGAAAATGAATGCCTTTTGCATGCTGCTTCCATGTGAAAACCATCCCTGATTTACAGTCAAAGCCATTACTAGATTTTTTTGGTATATCTTTTATTGGAGTTCGATTTGCCAACATATAGTATAATACCCAGTGCTCATCCCATCAAGTGCCCCCCCCAGTGCCCGTCACCCAGTCACCCTATCCCCCTACCCACCTCCCCTTCCACTACCCCTTGTTCGTTTCCCAGCGTTAGGAGGCTCTTATGTTCTGTCACCCTCTCTGATATTTCCCACTCATTTTCTCTCCTTTCCCCTTAAATCCCTTTCACTATTTTTTATATTCCCCAAATGAATGAGACCATATAATGTTTGTATGTAATGGGTAGCCAGGGTAGGAGAAAGGTGCTAATAGTTTTGGCATGGTCACAAGGATTACTTAGTTACTGATGGCATCTCAGACGTCTTCCCTAGGAAGCTACCATTCTCTAAGTTAAGGAATTCTGGACTATTATTCCTTATTCTTCTATCACATTCAGCTTAAATTTTTCCCAGAAGTGTTGTTTTCCCTTTATTGATGGCATTATTTGCAGAAAGAACATTTTTGAAAATATGGAAAAGTAGTTTTGAAGTCCAAATCTGCCTTGAAACCATCATTGTAGTGGAACAGGCAGTTTTACCAGGAAGTGTGTGATCTCTGGGAATTGAAGTACTAATAGTTTATGTAGCAGGGAAGATAGCAGTTTTGAGAACATAGAGTTGAGAAATGAACCAGAATCTGAATTGAGTAGCTATCACAGGAAGCCTATCATAAACTGACATGAATTCTAAAGATTATACCAACTACTT